GCCTTTCTACTGCTACTCCTTCGCTTCTTCTTACTGCTGTCTTTCAGCCACACCCCTGATCTTCTGGTAGGAAAGATCTACACCTAGCCTTCTCGTAATAGGGCGAAAAATCTCGGAGGGCCTGTGTGCAAGTTGCGCACGTTAAAGATCCCTTGGTGGTCTAAAATCGATAAGAGTAGGCTTCGGCCGCCACCCGGGCAAAATTCCAAATTTCCTACCAACTGAAAATGTTAGGTGCGTCCCGCGCGCTCATATGACCTTAAGCAGTTGCGAGCGCCGTAAAACACTTTACCAAAACAAAAAATCACCCCAACACATGCACAGTATGGTAAAGCAGTGAAGAAAAGTATATAGCCCTGAGGTCAAAACAGGTTTACAGACGAATTCTTATTCTTAAACAGACTGAGTTCTTATGCACGCAAAGTGCTTTTAAGCAGAGACCACTGTACAGTCGAACTTGCCTTCACGGAAACCTGTGTAAAACGGAAACCTGTCTTAATCGTAGAATCTCCCCACTCACCCCTTGATATATTCCTCTTTAATTACCAGTATAAAACAGAAACCTGTCCAACGCGGAAATGGAAAGAAAAATCCGCTCCCTTCCGATGGTTTTACCTGTCTAAGACGGACATTTGTAATGCTTTCTCCGCTCAGCCCTGATTTGAAACAAAACTCGCAAATTTTAATCCGCCTGCTCTAAACTTAACGCCATACCGCTAGGCCAGGAAGGGGAGAGGGGTGAAATTTAGAGGTAGATGCTACTCTAACCCAATCCATGTGAGCCCTGAGCGATGCAGATGGTGAGGAAAGTGTGGGTGAGAAATCTCACGAGTGCCAGAGAAAATGCTCGAGCAGCTAGCCACTACAGAAACTTTTCTAAGTAGCCAGAAGCCACAGGTGTGAAATAAGTTTGACCAATGCCTGCCGCCCTGATCGTACGACCAGCCCAGAAAAAGAGTTCCTCGAATCAGTCTTACATGGCAGTAAGGGGGGGGGGGGGAACTGTGCTTGTTACATCGATGGGTGGGGCTACGGGTGGAAGGATAGGACATGTCAAACGTTTCTGTTTTTAATAGATGAAACAGTGGTCCTATGAACTGCAAGAACTGGTGGTAATTGGATAAGTAAGACTGACGCATGTCATTATCAGAGAAGATAGCAGTGGAGGTGTGAAATTTTGACAACTGCTTGCCGACCGCGCAAGCGACCCTTGATCCAACCGGCTGGCCCTTTGAAACCCCCCCTCCACCTCCCCCTTAAATCCCTGCGTAAGACGAAAAATGTCTAAGACGGTAATTTTTCAGGCTTCCTTGCGATTCCGTCTTACACAGGTTCGACTGTATACAGGACTGTAAATGTCAGAGTATGTGCACATGTGTAGGTGTGACACGTGTCTTGACAGCTGACTTAGCTAAACCAGGTACCTCTTGTCTCAGATTCTCAGTTAAGTTGTCGAGTAGCAGCAGCAGCAGCAGCAGCAGCAGCAGTAGTAGCAGAAGTAGTAGAAGTAGTAGTTTACATAATTTTTAATAGAAGAAGTCTAGTAGAGTAGCTAGTAAGTGTCACTGTGATAGAGCAATCTGAATGTTACCTACACTCACAAATACACATATTTAAATAAAAATTATAACACAAGAACATTTTTTTATTAAAAAGAGACCGCCTTTAGACTCTGACTCATAACAAATTCACCACTTCTGATCTATTCAAGAAAAAAAATTAAACTAACTACAATAACACTCTCCACGCTGGGAGCGTTTTTTTTTTGTCAGTGTTTTACGGCGCTCACAACTGCATAAAAGGCATAAGGTCATATTATGAGCGCGTGGGACACATTAAACTTTTTAAGTTGGTAGGAAATTTTGAATTTTGCCCGGGTGGCGGCCAAAGCCTATTGTCTTCGATTTTAGACCACCAAAGAATCTTTAATATGCGCAACTAGCACACGAGACCTCCGAGATTTTTCGCCCTTGTCCGAGAAGTCTAGGTGTAGATTTTTCCTACCAGAAGATCAGGGGTGTGGCTGAAAGACAGCAGTAAGAAGGAGCCAAGGAGCACAATAGAAACGCTGCAGAAAGAGTCAGGAGCCCAGAGGAGGGGGAAAAGGAGCTGATTGGGGGGGGGGAGAGAAAGTGGGGACGAAAGCAGACAACAGAACATTGCTGGAGAGCAGAAAAGGAGGTGAAAGGAGACAAATTCAGAGAGAACAATTTTTCCATGGCTACCCGGATTCGAACCCGAGACCTTTGAATAAGAGGTGAACACCTTAAACTTTTAACCTCTAGGGCACGAGAGCCCCCCACGTTGGGAGCTTGACTTCATCATCACATTGTTGTCTTACAAATGTGTTATTAACACTTTTACTGATTCATGAGTTACCATCTTAGCGTAATGATGACGATATGTGAGGCAGCGTGGTGGAATCAGGCTCTCGTCAATTTTTGGGCATATTGGTATCATCTTAAAGCTTGTTCATTTGTCTTGCTTTCAATGAAAAAATTACCCATCCATCTTCAGTAGAAGGAGATATTTTGGATTGAAGGAGGTGGGGGTCACCTGATTTAAGAGGTAAAATTAGCGAGAAAATGGCCTCCAAAGCTTGGTAAATTCCAAAGCTGGAGAGTCCATGAAAACTGTAAATATTTTTTTTGTGCCTTTAATCAACGATTTCGGTGAAATCCTCAAAGGAATGTGTTTGTAAATGGACGTAAAAGGTGTTGAGCCAAAAAACAAAAATTTGATAAAAATTGTTAAGCAGGGAGAAAACTGCCGTTTTCTTTGATTTCATCATTTTGACGAGAGCCTTTCCACCACACTGCCTCACATATAAGATAGTACATATCACTTAATTAGTTATATTCAGTAATTTAGGCCTCCATGCTTCTACTGTCACCGTTTGGTAAAAAAGAGAAGGGTAAGATTGAACTTTGGTGGACCCATTATTGAACGAAGCCAGAACTACTTTTGAGCCTCGCTGTGCAATGGTCCGTTCTTATAATGTTATTGTTTTGTGTATTTTATGTGTGTTTTTTAAAACGAAGTGATTATTTCTCCAAACGTTCGGGAAAATAAACTTGAATTCTATTTCTCTGAACGGTTTCCGTTCTCGAGATTTTTTGTTTATTTGAGAGATTTCAGCATCATCTTTCATTCTGCCATGACTGGGAGGAAGCATTTTTTGCATTTTTCAATTTCTAGAGCTAGAAATTTTTTAACATCTGAATAGTCAGTGGTTAGGGCAACGTTCCCGGACTATACACACACTTCATTTGAAAAGGCCTTCAAAAGGTACTGCGATAAAACAAGACTGCTCGACTTTGGCAGTAACCTATTTTGCATTTAGTCACCCCAAAGCAAAAACTAAAATCCTTCATGCAAACAAAAACATCCCTCCACGTCCCCCCCCTCCCCCCACCCGTGCCCAGTTCACATCTTACACTCACACACACACACTCACACACATGAAGCACACTGACACACACAACACACACGAGACACGCGGGCCACTCCAATTGCAAATAACCAACAATAACAAATCTCGAGAACGTAAACCGTTCGGAGAAATAGAGTTCAAGTTTATTTTCCAGAGCATTCGGAGAGGGAGGACTTCTGTAACGAGCGACCACTATGAGACAGAGCAGAATTGAGGGCTAGGGGTATGGGTAGACCTAGGGGTAGGGGTAGGGGTAGGGGTAGGGTTAGGGTCAGGGTTAGGCCTCTTTTTTTATTGTGTTTGATGGGGTGGTCGCTCGTTACGGAAGTCCTTCCATATATTTTTGCCAGAGGGGCAAGCCCCCCCCCCCCCCCCCCC